AAAAAAAAAAAAAAAAAAAAAAAAAAAAAAAAAAAAAAAAAAAAAAAAAAAAAAAAAAGAAGCACAGCATCAGTATTATACATATAATACGAAGAAGGATGTAGTTGGTGAAGACTCCAAGGGGAACAGAGAGAAAGGCAGAGAGTACGTAATTGATATAATGATGTATACCGGGCGAGAGGTAAGTATTCCGGTATACTACCATATAATGCGATCATCGATTCGAGGTCTTGCGGGGAAGAAGAAAAGAGAGTCGGTCTTTCTATAATATAATATCTGCGCCCTGCGGTATGCGAAAAAATAACGTCGTAGGAGTGAGGAGGTATAGCTTTATATTATATTGTATATACAAGGAGCAAGCAGTCCGCGGGGCATATTTTGAAATCGAGTCGGTTTTTCGGTCGCGCAATTATCCCTCCGAGGGAAACACAGAGAAAGAACAAAACCGCGGTCTTTTGTGCCTGTCTGTGTGCTGCTGCAGCATGGATGTATCGCTGTAAATTACAGCCTGACAGAGTGAGTCCTGACACGTAAATTGGCTTCCACGACTTTTATCTACGTGTACGAGAGTCGAGAGACGATGTTTGCCGCGCGGTTGTGGGGAACGAATAAATATATACCCCTATACCTATACGTATACGAGTTGAGTGCGAGCAAGGGAATAATTTTTTTCCGTCTCCTCAAATTGACTGTTCCTTGCAGTCCATGTGTGTGTGCGTGCATGCATTCTACACATTATATGTATACAACATACGTGTGTAACGCAAGTGTTTTGGATTTGTTGTCAAGATTCGCTCTACCTCGGCATAGTACTTCATACTTGTTTACTTCCTTTCTATTCATCATCGATGATTTGTATAATTTCTTCAATCGTGAAAAAGTTTGCCATCATTGATGATAATTTTGGTTGGACGTAAAATAGTGCAAAAGAAAGTAGGTACATGATGGTACATGGGGTGAATTCCGCAAAAAGTGTACCGAAATCTACCCTGTTGACAAAGAACCTATTACCATATACACCTCGATATTCGATAATAAGTATACAAATCAAGTATACTTGGATCTGTATATATACGACGAATCCAACAGACGCACATTAAATATATGCTCTCCAAGTCAATCAAGAGCAGCAGGAGGAAGAAGAAGAGGTGGTGGTTAAGAAATCGTTAGGGTGATCGGGAAAGAAGAGGATCGAGCAGGTGATGCACGCATAGAAAGTAGAGAGCCATCAACTCGCTTGCTCGCGCCGGCCGCTTGCAGTTACCTAAAAGTAAGCCCAGTCGAGTCAAGTAGTGCCGCGCAGTGTTCTTCTCTCTTCTCGCAGACTATCATCAGCCTTAGATTAATTGGGATCTCAGTACCTCCGAATGGAAAAGGTACTAAATACTTAAATATTATTATAATATCACATAATATAATATAAGGATATAAGTACTCTGATACGATTATGCATGTAAAACTCTCTCACTACATACACATAATGCCTCATGGCGGTCGTAGGTATATGGTGCCGAAATTTTCGAGATCACAGTTAAGGGTCACACAGGAATTGACCAAATAAGAAAAATTGTACATCATCGAGGTACACCATCGTCTTCACCATTAAGTACTCTTACTTACTTACTTACTTACTTACTTACTTACTTATCATCGAAAAGCAAAATCTCAGATAGGTAGATACATAATTATGATTACACCTACACTCGTACGCTGACGTAAAGTACCCCGGCAATCTCTTTTATATTTTTCTCTGCGATCCAGGTATTAAGTAAATAAGTACATAGACGCAATATTTGTATTTAAATATTAATAGGCAGGACTAAGAACTTTCAAGGGGAGGGGAATGCAATTTTCGCCAGCGAGTGAGAAAAAGAGGTCTAACATAACCTATACTTACTTATGTATATGTGTACAAGAGAGAGAGCGCGCCGATGTCGCGTGGGAGTAATATAATAGGGGCCGTCATCGTGATCCGGGGCGGAGCTCGGGGCCGCCAACCAGAGAGTGAGAGCCCTGGTCGCACAGCGACAAAGAAGACGACGACCCTCCCATGCATACAATATATAGGTATATGCCTGGAGTACCAACACACACCCACGTAGATACATCTGAGCAGAGGACTGCATTGCTGATGCTATACTTGCTCGTATTTTTTATCATTCAATGGCCCCAGGTCCAAACTATCAATAAGACAAATCGATTGTATAGTATGCCTTTTTCCTAAACATACACTTATACCAGCTATAGTAGTAGGTGTGCTTATATAAGCGCATATTGTTATAAGTACATCCACCATTGATTTATACCAAAATTCGGTTGGATGTAACTTTTTTCCAAACTCCTGCCAGAGACATACCTAAATAACAGGAGTAACAGTTTTGTTTCTCGGAATAAGGTTATTAGTCTTGAATGATCAGAAAGGAACTGCAGTTCAATTTTTACAAGCTAATCACCGATAGAAAAAAATTTGTAACTTTTTAGACCTCACAGTCAGTAATTGATCTACTTATATAATATGAACTGAGAATTATATTTTTTTGGTTTTGGTTTTTGTAATAATAAAACAATTTGTTAAAAATGTGCGCGCGCGCGCGTGTGTGTGTGTGTGTGTGTGTGTGTGTGTGTAACGTGGTGCATGTTTTGTCATTAAAGAACACTTGCCAGTTCATTCATACGTCTCACAACACTTTTTCTCCTATTGTTCAAATTGGATGATTATTTATAAAAAATTTAATAAATTCAAAGGCCTTAAGTGTTTTTATAACACAAAAAATCGTTTAATAAACATTCACCATCGTGCTTCGTAAAAAAAACTGCAAGTAATTCCCATACTTTCTAAAGTTGTATTTCTACCTTTGAAAAAGTTATTTTTTTTTTTTTTTTAATTTAGTCCATAGCTCTCTTTTTTTGTAACCATGATGTATATATATAATATGTAAGTGGTATCACACAATACAGCTTTTTGCCAAAACACATTATTACAATAGTTAATTATTTGACATACCATTCACTGATTATGTACGCATACATGCATTCAACTCTAAAAATTGATTAACAATACCGTGTAAAAAAGAATTGGCAAAATGCGAGAAGTGTTCGAACGAAGAGAGAAAAATCACACAAGTAATGTGCAAGTGGGTACACGTACCTATATTATAATATTAGTTATTCGACCCAAGACTTTTGTTAAATAAATATACCTTCATCTAATTAAAAGAAGAAAAAATATATATAGAGATGTATGGATTGTAGGTTATAAAAAAAAAAAAAAGAATGCGTTATGGCGTGTCCATTCACCTGTACAATAGTTTAAGTACCTATACACGAGAAGCTCAGTTAGTGTTTATCTACATGCCGACGACACGTCCGTGTCTCTGATTTTTCTTCCCCACATACATACAAATGTTGCAATGATCTTTTTTTCCCAGATTTTCAGAGTAAATCTCAGATCCGACAACGAAAAGGAAACGAGAGAAAAATAAGCAACGCGCACCGGCCCAGACGGGGTTGGCGTATAAATATAATGATGACGGATACATAAATATTTCCCTGGCCAAACTCCCCTTGCCATGTTCTCTCTCTCTCTCTCTCTCTCTCTCTCTCTCTCTATACTTTTCCACGCTTTTCTTCCCTTGCCGTTTTTACTTCTCGATAGCAGTAATTTGACGTACATTACGTGCAGACCTGATAGCAATCATCGTTGTCGCTGGAAAAACAGCTAGCCTTGATTTATTTTTTTTTTATTTATTTATTTCATACTCCGGCCCTTTCGGGTTTGGAGGGGCTCCGTTACACATTTAACATTCTGGCTAGCCTTGTTTTTCTATGCCAAAGGTGCTCGTTGATGACTAGCTGGTTGGTTTTATTTGAAATGACGTTACGAGTGGCTGTTGGTTACATTACCCCCCTATACAATTTCGGAGCGGTACGATGCCGGTGGATCAGTCACCATCCAAATAATGTTTAATGTTTCAAAAATTATGCATTTAGTGTGTATATATGTATATACATACACATACGGAGAATATCAAAGGTGATTAATTTTTCATTCCACACCATTATCCTGTTTAACAATTATTCATTCAAACATTTTCTGCAAGTGTAGAATGTGCAGTCAATGCAGGTATTAATGTATTTCATCATTTTTTGTAATAAGTATAAATTTATTTGAAGCATATTGCAAAGAGACAATAAAAACAATGGCTTTCCCAAGTGCACAAACAATTTTAGAATCTCGAACAAAATGTCTGAAATATTTGTAAAATTTACAAAAACTGTACCCTCCCCACGAGGAAGCTCGAGTGTAGGTCTCACCGATATTCGAACTCGGACTGCTGGATTTAAAGTCCGGAGTGCTAACCGTTGTTCCCCGAAAAACATCTTCTATGCTGGCATATACAATTATTGCTGTTTACATTTTTGTTGCCTCTATTCTCCTTGTACTGCAGGCCTTTTCTTTTAATACATCACAAGTTGGTGCGCTATTGGTTTCCTACTCTTTTGCATCAACATCGGTCGGGAGAATCAGCGTGTGACGGTGTGACGCTTTAATCGTTTTATAATTGCCGACTGCGCTATTCCACTCTCGTGCACTTGTATACATTATATATATATATTATAACACGCATGCGTATATACGTTACGTAACATGGGCTGGGAAATAATAAAGCAACACAATTTTTTTTTTTTTTTCCTTAAAAAAAAGTGTATTCTGTACTGAGTTGTTTTCGAGCAAAAATTCGTGTCGCACGTATACTTTACCCTCGTGTAAGGTATGTCTACCTACGTACACATGCATACCTCAACGGACTTACAAAAAAATAAAAATT